ATAGGTTATAGCTGTGGCCGATCTGACATGCATGGCATAGGTTATAACTGTGGCTGATCTGACATACATGGCATAGGTTATAACTGTGGCTGATCTGACATACATGGCATAGGTTATAACTGTGACCGGTCTGACATACATGGCATAGGTTATAGCTGTGGCCGATCTGACATACATGGCATAGGTTATAGCTGTGGCCGATCTGACATACATGGCATAGGTTATAGCTGTGGCCGATCAGACATACATGGCATAGGTTATAACTGTGGCTGATCTGACATACATGGCGTAGGTTATAGCTATGACTGGTCTGACATACATGGCGTAGGTTATAGCTATGATTGGTCTGACATACATGGCATAGGTTATATCTATGACTGGTCTGACATACATGGCGTAGGTTATAGCTGTGGCCGATCTGACATACATGGCATAGGTTATAACTGTGGCCGATCTGACATACTTGGCATAGGTTATAACTGTGGCCGGTCTGACATACATGGCGTAGGTCATAACTGTGACCGGTCTGACTTGCACGCCGTGACAAAGTCAATAGTTCACAATATATACTAATATTTTTTTATTAATACTTACACATTCCCTGGAAGGTTTGACAATGATTAGAAAAGTTTAAGAAGGAATAAAAAGTTACAAAAATGTAAATAGATAAAATAAATCAAACTAAGCTAATACATTACAGATAATAGCAAGTATAAAATTATGATACTACCATAGATAGAAAACAAAATGCAAAACTTAAATAGTGTTCAAAAGAAGGTTGTCACTGGGGTTGCCGTCTTGTTTCAAAACACTTCTGTAGGTACCTTGCTACGGGAAGTGTTAGGCCACTGTTGTTTAGCAAGGCTATGAATTGTGTCTTTGGTAGCAAATTTTTAAAGTTTTGAATTTTGGTTTTTGCCATTTCGAATAGGAAATTTCTTTCGGGGGTATATCTTTTACATGACATCATGAGGTGATACTCATCTTCTACTTCATTTTGATCACAAAGGTTGCATAATCTATTAGCAAGGGGTATTCCTTTGTGTCTGCGAGTCTCAATTTTCAAGTTATGGTCACTGAGGCGGAATTTAGTTAAATTTTCGCGCATCTCAATGTTTTTTAGGGTAACAAGGTATGTGTCAAAAGCTAAATTGTTTTTTAATTCTCTGTATGTTCTTAATTTATTTTTTTCATTTTGTTTTGATCGATTATCATTATGTAATTCACTTTTCCAAGTTGATATGAATGATGTTTGTATATTTTTGTTGATTTGTCCTAATTGCCTTGCTGTTAGAATTTCATCGCTGTCGACCAGGTTAGACTGGTTGATGTTATTCAATAGGGAATCTATATTGGTGTACCATTTACTATTAATTTCTTTATTTTCTTGGGAAGCCAGTTATAGTAATGGATTTGACGAGTTCTTTATACGATTAAAATATGTTATCATTTGTTTTTCGATAAAAGTCTCCATTAGGTAACGTATAAGTTCACCGTATAAACCCATTGTTGTAGTGTTTTTGGATGTGCCCAAAAGAAAACGAAGATAATTTATATGTACATCTTCAATTGGTGATTTTAGTGTAATTTCATTGGTCTGATTAGTTTATCAAACAGAGAGAATGACAGTGGTATACCTTTAAAGGCCTTTAAAGCTTTTCTTTTTATGCTTTTTAGGCCTTCCTTGAATTTTACATTAGCGCTTACTCTTAATCCTAGGTAATTGGTTGATTTTACTTTAATTAATTAACTCACAACCTTCAAAGAAGAAAATATTATTCTCTAGAAGTCTGTTTGATCTGTTAAAGATCATAGTTAGATGCCATTTTTTAGTGTATATCGATAAATTATCAAGGCAAGTTTGTAATCCTGTTTTCGATTCAGAAAGTATTACAAGATTGTCAGCATACATTATACAGTTAATAGGTATATTTTGCAGTTTGGGTGGGTCACATCCAGGTTAATTAAGAACATCAGGTAAATCGTTTATGAAAATATTGAATAGGGTTGGGCTTAAGTTACAGCCCTGTTTTACTCCCACCCTTGAAGTGAAGTGTTCAGTTAATCCTTCTTTGCTCTTAACTTTATATTTTACCTTACTAAACTTATTTTTGATAATTTTATAGATTTTTATAGATATTCCAAGTTTTAACAATTTAATATGCAACCCCTGATGCAAAACACTGTCGAAGGCCTTTTTTAGGTCAACAAACCACGCATATATTTTATTTGTATTTTTACTATTATTTTTTGTGTTTTAATATTTTATTTGTTATTGACAGTGCTACTGTGGTAAAGATATTTGTTAATTATTGTCTTAAGAATGAAGATATTGTCTGTTGTGCGTCGATCTTTTCGGAATCCGAATTGCTTGTTTGAAAGTATGTTCTTTTTCTCTAAGAATGTGATTAGTCTAATGTTTAGAATGCTTGTAAATAATTTGCCAAGGCAACTAGAAATGGCAATGTCTCTATAGTTTGATGGGTTGGATTTGGGGCCGGATTTGTGGATTGGTATTAAAAAACTGAGGTTCCAAGAATCTGGAAAGTGTTTTGAATTAAAAATTATATTAAAAAGCTTATGTATGGCTTTCAGTAAGTTGGTTTGGCTGTGTTTTAGCATTTCATTGCATATTTTATCT